AGCTATGTTTTCATATTTGTGGGAAACAAATATCTATGAAAACTCTTCAAGATGTTGCCCATTATTATAAAATGAGACTTGTATTTTATTTTTGGACTACTTGTTTCTCTGTAGGATTATTCTGATGTCCTGTTATAGGTTTATTAAACAAACATCTCTAAGATGCCGATATCCCTGCTTAAAAAAAGATAACTTGTTTCTCTGTAGGATTATTTTGATGTCCTGTTATAGGTTTATTAAACAAACATTTCTAAGATGCTGATACCCCTGCTTAAAAAAAGACCTTTAGGCAATGTTTAGTTATCATTACTTTTGAACAAATAAGATTTACTACTGGTGATTCTTACGTGTCTTTTTAGTTAAAGTGATAAAATATCATAATTTTATAATAAAAACACTTCTAAAAAGCAAATTCACAAAGTTTCTGAAGGAAATTAGCATTCTGAAACTCAGAGATAAAGAACTACGCCCATAACACAAAGCACAAGAAGAACTTCTCCTCAGCTTCTATTTCCTTAGCAGTGAGACTCAGGGCAAGCTGCTACACTAGGAATTCCTGTAAGAGATTTTCCTACATTCAACTGTTGTCAGGCCCGTCTACTACAACTGCAACTGTGTCATGTGTTAATACAGTTCAATTCTACTTAGAACTGTAATTGAACCTTGGCACACCCACACGACTGTACTTCTAATTATGCCATGTAATTCATTATTTACAGTTCAATTATAATACGTTTTTTTTTCCAAAAAAGGCAAAGAATTAACTGGATAACTGGTTATTTACTATTTACAAGTACGCTGTTAGGTTGGTATGTACGCGGATAGGATGTACTGTACGTGTAAGTAACAAAAAGAGGCAACCACACCATGACCCAGATTATTCCCCAATCGAAGCACATGGGACAATTGGAATTATGAACTCCACAAAAGAAAACCTTTCCATAGCAGGGACAAACATTTTTTCTCTACCCCCAAAATATTAATGCCCCCACAAAATTTTGTTTTAGTGGGGTGCCACAGGGATCTTTATGAGGACCACTACTCCTATTAAATTCTGTCTTACGTTTGTAATTTTTTCATATAATCTGAGAACATCACAACAGGATAGGCAAACATTATGGAAACTCCAAATTAAATTCACAGAAATTTAGACAAACATCAAGACTGAGCCAAAGCCCAGCAGATGGTGTTTAATGTAGACAGATATTGGTGCTGTGAAATCAGTACAGAGGACAGAACCAGATACATCCCAGGACTTAAGTGAAAGTCCAACACTACAAGACTGAAGGAACCAAACCTTCACAGTCTTGAACAGCGAAAATAACTTTCTTTGATTACCAGCGTAATAAAAAAAGTAACCAGCATGATTCTTTTGTGCCATACAAACTAACTGATTTTACTAAAACATCTGTCTGAAACAAGACAGCAAAGACGTCATCATGAGTTATGTACTCCTTTCACTAAAAAATTAAAACTTTATTTAAAGAAAATCCAAAACTTAGCATTAAACATCATTTTAGGGCAAATGAAATAATTATTTTACAGCACACACTTTAAAGAAACAGTTGAATTACTGTATACATTGATCACGAATTATAAACCATATTTTCCAGATTACATAAAGCAAACAGGATTTGCAGTTTAAAATCGTTTGCTTAAAGTTTTCTATTTAAAGACACTGTACTTTTACACATTATCCAAACTTCAGTCTGTGCTATGATCTATTGGTAAATGTATACAGCCAGGTTAAAAGCATAACGTGGCTGAAGTTGAGCTTAATAATGGAAACTGCTATAATCCATTGGAGGAAAATTAAACTGTAAATTTAGAGGGGGAAAAAAAGAAGAGCCACGATAAACAGATTATCGGCTCCAAGGACATCAAAACCAAAATGAATTTCTACGCTGGTAGAAAAATGAGTGTTGACAGAATCGTGGCCTTAGTCTTACTACCTGTAGCAGGTAGAAATTAAACGTAGTATCATATTTCCTGTGGCTTTTCTTTTCCAACTATGGGGAGCCAAACGTTGGCCAGCCTCATTCAAAGCGAGGATTTTTAAAAGGGCATAGCAGAAAATGTTCCATTCTAACTGGAAACAAGAAATATCAACCCACTGCTCTTTTTTCTGCTAGAAGTGACTGAAAGACAAATTTTCAGAGTCAATAAGTAGTTGTTCATCAACAGTCAACAGGGGTCACGTGGTTTTCTTTGTGCATTTGAAGAGAAGAGATTAAGATGAACACTAGGTGAAGCGATGAAAAAGTCTGCTCAACTGCACAGCTCTGACGGTTTCTTACACCAGCAGCCAAAAGGGCTGACATCTGATTCTCAACAATTAGGAAGGTGAAAGTAGATGTCTTCCATATGACCAGCTCAGTGTTTAACTTGTCAGATTACTATAATATTTTCTTTATTAGCATAAAATACCTCTTTCGCAGCCCTGTAAAAGCTTCTGGAACTTGGGGGCAGGTTTATTATTGATAGCGTGATGCTGACAGTAACCACATCCACCTGCACGCGTCACACTTGCCAAAGGTGAACGAATTCCAAAACTCATAGGATGCTGGACCGTACAATGGATCTCATGGACCTGTACTTTAGAAAATTAAAGAAGTGTGCTTAACAAGTCTGAAAATGGTTTCCGCTTATGTAGAACTTAAAGAAACGTCCGTTCATCTGCATCATACCAATACAGACAAATTAGTCTACACATGCATATGCCAATTTCATTAGTGTTCTACTGGTGAATACAGTTCAGGGCACTAGTTCAGAGGTGTGCTGTGAAGATACCAACAGACTGGGGGATAGAATCGTGTTGTATAAACAAGCGGCCACCATTGTTTCCTGTAGGATACACACATGAAGAATGAAACTGGGAGTCAAAGTGTTTGTGTTATTTCTCCTCTTCAGAAAGAAATGAGCCACCAACATGCCCACTGAAATACAAAACTGTTCATGACAGCCTATAAGATTTGACATTTTTCTAAGGTCTACCTGGATGATCCACATGCCAAAGCGTTCTTTGCTATTCAGGGTTATTTTTCCAGAACCTTCTGGATTGTTCCTTCAGTCCTTTTGCTGCTGGTCGACCAGGGTTTCCGACAATGACACAACACTCCTCTCCCCCCCCCCCCCAGCCTACCAACATGTGCTAGATTGTGCTGCTGCTGTAGCTTTCCATTGTCTGGCTCAGCCTATTGTGGTTGTCCAACAGGTCATATAACACGCCAACACGGCCTCTGGCACAGCAAACAAAACACAAGCTGGTCTATTGTAACCGTTTTTATTAGATTTTGTCTCAAGAAATAATGAATACCACGTCATGTGCTCTCCTAATTGAAAACAGAAAAACAAGGAACAGTGCATGTGTGCACGCATGTGTTGTTGCACCGAAAAGATTTTACCCCAATTACCACACAATTCAGTTTTCTTGTTTTTTTAAAAAATACCTAGAGATAAACACTAGCACCCATTAGTCAGCTACACAACTTCAGTCATACAACTTTAACATTGATTCTAATGTATGTTTCTCTCACCTATGTTGTAGAAACATTCACTCTGAGAGGCAATCTCCTTATTATAAACCACACATCACATCAGGCGATCAAGAAACAACTGTGAATTGCTTGATAAAACCACAAAGCTGTTTCACACAGTTGGCTTCGCTGGTTAACCACAACTATTAACACACGAATGCAGGGAGGGAAAAAGTACACTACATGGAAGATTTGGAGAGTAACATAAGATTTAGATTCTCCACCAACTAAAGCATACTTCTGAAGGCATCGTTGTTGAATCAACAGAAAATAATGCAAAGCTTTTTTGGGGGTAAGTTGAGCGTTTTGACAGATATAGTCAAAAAGCACGCTAGTAACTTGCATTAATCAAAGCACTGTTTTTTTTGCACCTAAGCACCTTCACATGAATCAGTTAAAAATCTCTTAAGGAAAAAAACCCTCAGCGAATGTTACCTCTGATGAAAAGCCTGTGGAATCTGGCCCATCAAAGTCATCTCAGTAGCCAGTTCTTGTGTTTACACTGTATCCCTCATCCTAACAACGCCTACAATTACATGAACAGCCCGAGGACAGCATGGCAGGAGGATAGAGAGGCAAGGGGAACAAGAAAAAAAGAAATGTGATGCTCTTATGGAATTTGTTTACTTTTTCAGAGGGATAACTCTGGAATACGTCTTGGTGGAATCTCAAGTTAATTTGATTCCTTCTAAAAAAAAAATTGAATTTGACTGCTGACTAAAACTCTTGAAAAGCGTTACATAATGGGGGGGGGCTTATCTAGCAAAACTCCATTTCGAAAAATAAAGCAAAAAAGAATTACTCGGTTTCCTCCCGTCCCTAACCTCAACCCCTCGTTCAGGCATCTGAAGTATTCCAGGATTCAGAAGTCGTTACACGCTCTCGCTGGCACATTAGGAACTGGAGCCCATCCAAGCCAGTTAATGGAGAAAAAGGTTTTCTTTTGCTTAGGCAGGAGGTGGGGGGGGGGGTTATTGCAGTATTAAATGGTCAGGTTTACCCTCCTTCAGGTACAGCTTATGATAACAAGCTTTCAGCTACGAGCAGCAATGTCAGCAGTAACAGCTATGACCAACGCACTGCCTTTCGCGCTGGCATGTGGGCCGGAGAAGGGCTCCAAAAGTCCCTCCCCAACCCTGTTTCTGGCTTCTCCACCAGACAAGTGCAGACAGCATGTGTTTACCTCATTAGTACAGCCTGCCAGACTATAAGGCTATCAAGTCTGCTCATCTTCGGGTTTCTGTGACTACCTGCTTTAACAGCTTCGGCTGGAGGAATGCGATCAATAGTGCTGTTGAAGGAAGAGTTGTTGGGTGATCGAGTCTGAGGGCAAAAAAAAAACGTGTGTGTAACAGAAGTTGGGCAGAGCAGGCCTGCGAGATGGCACTCCAATAACATTTTCCATGTTTAGTTTTTTTTTTTTTCCCCTCTGCTCTCTCAAAGGGCAACAAAAGTGAAGTTTACCTTCACCAGTGAATGCAGGCTTTTTTCACCAAACATATCCCGGAGAAAAGTCTGGTCTTCCTGGCTGTCCACATGAGGCTGGAGCTGAGACGGTAAGGCAGCCAGCAGCTCGTACAGACCTGCGAATGAAAAGGGAACAGTCAGGCAGAGCACCGAGTTCATGAGCATTTGCTTGGAAGCCAGCCGCCAGTCATTTTTTAAAAAAATGGACCGTGGAGATCTGGGGACGTCCCAGTGCACCCACATCCCCGCCCACTCCTAGTTCCGTCTCCTCTGAGCTCTTCTACAAGTGCGGATTAAATAACAGACAGTGCTGAAAGAGCCTTATTTAGTTCTGATCTTCCTCAGAGAACTGAGGGACCAGGCTACTAAGTTCCACTTCATTTATCCTCTCGAGCCGCGGCTCCAGGGAACATCCTATGAAAAAACCTCACGTCCTGCGATTGTTCCAGGTCTTCCTGTCTTTTCATTTTTCCTGGGTTTTCATTGTTAAACAAAAGATTTCTGATCATGATTTTAATGTTCAGAAGTCAAACGTACGCTTTTAATGGAACAAGTAAAGGTTTATTCCAAGCTGAAAAGGGTGGCTCGAAGAAGGCTCCACAGCCGAAACGCTGTATTTCCTTTCTTCTCTTTTCAGCCAGGAATAAACCTTTACTTGTTCCTTTGCAGCCTAAGCATGCTGACGCAGCTCCCTACTTGAACTACTTATGATTTTCATGTTCATAAAATGTACAAACCTGCTCTTATCCATTGTTGCCTTTGCCTTTAACTGACAACCTCAAGCCAGAGATCCTGAATTCAATGCCTTCATCTAACGCACTCCTTCATGCAGTCTTTGCTGTGTTGCTTGAAACTATTTTGTATATTCATTCATCAAAACACTATTGTTAAACCATTCATGCTAATTAAGCTAACAGTTATATCATCTCCTTTTCCACAAGCACAATTACTATCGAACTATGCACCGTATTTATACTAATATTTCTTGACAGTTTTTCCTTCGATTATAATGTGCAAAACCAGTGGGTAGGCTACAGAAACTTCTACAGGTCATTATCGAGCTTTTTTAACAGACGAAATAATGAACTCACGTCTTCATGGGTTTGCTGCAATTAAAAAGAAATTTTAACAAAATGACAAAAACATTTTAATTACAAAAAACAACAAAAAATAGTTATAGTGTAATAAGCTTGAACAGGAAGCATGTTCAAGCTTATTACACTGTTTAAAAATGTTTTAAAAATGAATTTCAATGTTATTTCAAAAGTTTTTTCTCTTTGGAAAATCTGGTTTACTAGCATACAACAGAATATAATATTCCTCTCATCTGTAAGCATCTTTTAGTAATTTCTAAGGAAAACAGAACATTTCAATGGATGGCATTATTCCTAATGTGATATGAGGATGAATACTGTTGTAGTACACAATAGAATTATATTCCTGGACCAAACCTCCAACCACCATAACAAAAGCACTGCTCAGAACATAATAATAAGCAGCCTAACATGATCTCAAAACGTCTAGATTCGTAGAACTTTTATCACTTGCTTCATCTAGTTTTATCTTCATTTTTCATTGGTGCAGTTTTAAACAGTATAGCTTGGTGGTGCTACAAAGTCTCCGATTTATGTTTTCATGCCTGTGTTTCTCCATTTGAAAAGCCAAAACAATCATTTCGAAAGCAAATCTGAAACCAATCAATGTTTGTGTCATTTTCTGGAAAATATGTATTTTTTAATGTTTCTTCTAGACCACTTTTATGTGATCTCAAACAATTTCCAAAATGAAACATATTCTAACGTCTGATAATACCATTTTCGTAATTGCAGAATGAACAAAGCACTTTTCTGTTGTTACATTAGTATGAATGATGAATCTTTTAAACTGCTTCTATAAGAAGTCTGCTTTTCAAATCTGGGCTTTAAAGGAGAAAGAGCAGTTAATGGGTTCCAAACATCCCAGTATAAATTGTCTCTCAGAATAGGTACAAAATAAGCAGAGCTGCCCTAAGTGTAACTATTAGTTACCAGAGTGATTAGTAAACCACTCACAGGTAAGCCAGGATCAGCTGATTCTGGTTATATATGGAAAAACTAAATCAGATAAATGTGTAGGCCTAGTCAGAAATTTAAAAATATATCTCTGGACCTTAAAGAGTGTCCTTTGTAAGTGGACTTGATTGAGCGTAATGTGTTCAGCATGCTTCATTTTAGTCCAGCTTCCTGCTGCTGTATTGTAACTCTAATTGTTAATTGTACCATCTATGAGCAAAACAGAAGTTACCGCGTAAAATAAAAGGCAGTACTGTTCCAAGATTAATTTTCTCTTCGCACATAACAGACCGTTGCACCAAAAAATAAAATCGTAACAGCAAAATGTTTTGTCACAGGACAATAAAGTCCCACAACACGCCAGGTTCTGAAAGGTCCTGATGTTTTAGATGCAGAGGGTTCTGCAACAGACCTAAAAACTTTCGTCAAAGACTGCCTTAGAGGTTATCAGCCAGAGTTAAAACATAAAGTGGCCAAGACCTCTTTGCCCACTGCCAGCACAGGGTAGGTAGAACCAAGTTCGACTCAAGCATTCTCGTTCAGAAAGGAAGCCGACTGCCGTGTCCTCTCAGTCCACGTTTGCTCAGCCCCAGTAAACTCTGCGCTGCTCATCAAACTCTTAACCAATACAAGGCAGAATGTAGCTGTGGGGGCATCTGCTCCTCTCATTAATTCACAGCTTTAAAGCTGAATAACATGTCATATTATAAATGATTTAAAGGACACAGGATGATGGGGAGTGGGGGTATATGGAAAAGCCATCATGACTGACCCTCATAACACATTATGGCTGGGCTGGGCTGCTCAATCTCATATGTGATGCATTTTCTCTACACTGCGCCCGTCGAGTCCTCCAATTTGATCATTCCACGCACAAGGAAAAATGAATGCGCTTTTATGGGTATGGCAAACATATCAATATCTAGTTTATGCTTAAAACATCTAAAGGCATTGTGACCTTGCTGGTTAGACTGCAAAGCTGCTTTTGTTGTTATTTTTAATGTTGGCGGAGCTCACTTTATTGCAGAATGGAAGTTCTGGTCAGTGTTCGTCAGCTTGTACCTAAGAGGTCATACTTCTGCTCCCGTGATGTATGGGAGGCTGAAGCTGGGCTGTGTCTTGTAAATGAAGTTAGTTTTAGGTGAGCATGCAGGAACATGGGGCAGAAGACACAAGACGTTATTCCCACACCTTTAAACCATCGTGATTGGTGGCGAGCGGACTGGAGCACTTTGGCTGCCGTTGCATCATCCAGGTGGGGCTGCACACTGGTGGAGGTGGAGGGGAGCCCCCACTGTCTGTACCTTGAGTGTTGTGTCCAGAAAAGCGCTATATCAAAGTCTAAGGATTTTTTTTTTTTTTAATAGTCCAATAACCAAGATACAGACAAAGGAAAACTTTACATGATGGGCATGTGATGGTGACTCAAAAAACCGCATGTGAAACCAGAAATTGAAGTAAATCAGTGAAGGGATTATACTTATGGTAAAACATGAGTGTGTAAAAACAGGAAGCACTAGACTCAAAGGCATCTTTGTAATGTGCTGAAAGAAAAAGAAAATAGTCACCACGTTTCAGCTATGGAGCCTTCTTCGGGTGTCAAGAGACTTTTTTTCTTTTCCTTTCAGCAGGGAATAAACCTTTACCCTGTTCCTTTGCAGCTTACCCATCCTGGCCCAGCTACCTACTCAAACATCTTTCGGATGTGTCAAGTCCGTGTTTTGAAAAACTCCCAGAAGTCCGTTTCTTTAGCCACCCTTTATCATATTAGTTTCTTTCATCTTCCTTTCCCACCCCTTGGCCTCGGACTGCGGCTCCCTCCTCGATTTTCCCACGTGCATTGTGTTTTGTCTTTTGTCTGTCCACTGTGCACAGAGAATGATCCTCTGCCTGTTCCTGCACCTGTGCTTCTGTGAGACACACGAATGGAGAAAGACCACACCTTCTCGATCTTGCAGGCTTACAAAGCTACTGCAAACCAAGGGTTTCCATCGGATAACCGGCAACTCTTAGCTGACAAAGGGAACAACTGTGGTCTCTCCAAGTGCAACAAATAAAATAAAATGAAGACCACTGCCTCCTATTCAAAAACAAAAATATTTTTCATCCCTTCTCTCAGGAGAACTTTACTTTTCATCAGTGTGCTCTGGTCTACAGTGATTTCTCCAGCTTACAAGAGGAAGACCGAGTTTGTCTTATTCAACTTAGATGTGGTGACACTAAAAGCACTGGAAAGCAGTTATTCATAAATTACTAGAGCTGATGGATAAAAATTGAAAATATCCTTAGAACCGTTACATCCATAAACACACAATGACAGGGAAAAGGTAAGCACCCTTCAAATCTTGAATTTTTAGAGTGTACTATAAGAGAAAATGTTTCTTCAAAAACGTTTTCAACAACGACTAAATTGAAAGCAAGATTTGAAGAATTCCTGCCGAAGTTTTATGATGAATATTTATTGCAAAACATCTAAAAAATATGGTGGTAAGACTGCAGAATTGATTCATTGTTACTTATTTTTTATCGTTTCTGAGAAACAGGGGCTCAAGTTCCAAAACGTGATTTCATTTGAAACGTTGCGGAGAGGAAAATTTTCCTAGTTGTAAACTCTGAAATCCCCAATTTAATTGCATAATTTGGACTTTACATTAGCTTGTTTCTGCAGAATGACAAAAGGAAATAAACATCTGACCTAATTCAACTATGCATCTGCAGGTGCTGAACAAGTGATTAAATTGAACCATATATCTGTCAAGGCTTAATTAAAGAAAAATGCATTCCTGCCACCATTTCCAAAAAACACTTGGACGTCTTCAAAGTCAATATTTCAGCAGAGAGCTATGGCATGTAAATGTTTCAGGCAGCCTGACTTGTAAAGAAAATTAAGGAAAAAAATGTAACTGCTGCTGGGAGGCGTTCCATGTAAGACAATACATTTTTACCTCAATTTTACAATTTGGGATCCATTAGTGGATAAAAACGACTTATCAATTTGAATTGGAAGAATAAAGGAGGCAATAAAAACATGTAGGTGTTTAGCTAGCTCCAGCAGAACTCTACCA